TTTACACGTCGATCCGAACGTTATAATTTTAATATGTTTCGTAGTTTAGGAATCAACGTTCTCGATCCTCGGTTCCATCGAATCGTCAACCCCGTTATTCACTTTTCCCACGCAATCGATGTAAAGCGGCCGCAATTCGCTAGTGAATTAACTATGCGCTACTTCCCGGGAACTCGATAAAATTTTCGTTTTGAAGCGACAGCGTATTAGTGTTCGCAAAATTAGAGACCCTACGAGAAATTCGAAGCGCGATAGTGCTTTGTAACGACGTTCCAGAGTAAAAGAAGATATAATTGAACTACAATCGTCATCGAATCAAACGATTACTCTGATCCAGTGATCAGAGATCGGACGCAGTATCGGGGCACAGTGTATAACGAACATCGCCGACGCTCAATTCTGAAATGTTGAAAAGCAAAGGCGGAGATGCTTCTAAGTCAATGATACATACCGTACTCGGAGATCTGTCGAAAGGAGAAATCAAGTGAAAACGCGAAATGTGCGCGTCTGATGCGCGTTTTATGTACAAAACTAAGATAAATGTTCGTTTAACAAACGTGCTTTGCGCAGAACTTCGCTCGCATTTCTCTCTTTCTTTCTCTCTCTCTCTCTCTCTCTCTCGCTCGCTCGCTCGCTCTCTCTCCCATTTTTCCACTTAAAAATCATCTTTCCTCCGTTTGTACTGTTTTGTCCCATTTGTCGTTTCCGTCGCGAAATCATGAAAAGAGAACGGGATTCGCGAAAAAACGGGAGGAATAACGAATGAAGTTAGTTCCTTCGATAGAGAAAAAGAACACAGGGACGAGATTGCGTGTGTGCGTGTCTGTCTGTCTGTGTGTGTGTGTATTTGTATGTGAGAACGTATGTGTTTGTATCTCGAAACCAAACCAGTCGAAACGTTGTACTATGATCCAAGTTTTATTAAACAAATTAAATACAAAAAAGGTTTCCTGTATTTTTTTCTCTCGCGTTGCTCGCGGCTTGAAACGCCGCGACTCGCAGTCACTCTCCTCATCACGAAGTTCAATATAAATAATTAAAACAACAGGAGAAAATCAGGGCAAGGGGGAGGGTTGGGGTGGGGTATAAATAAAAATAAATGAAGTCAGGGGTTGGGCTCGCGTGGAAGAAGAAAGTTTAAGGCATATTATTATCCACGTGTATCTCTTTTTCTCTCGCTTTCTCCCGTTTACTCTCGGATAAACACACTCAATCATCACGCGCTCGCAGTTACACAGACTCTACGACAAGGTGGATCAGTTTCATAAAATTAAGGGAAGAAGAAGAAGAAGAAGAAAAAGATGATCATGTAGAAGAAACGCTTCTGAGCTTCAGCAATTCAAGACTAACTAACCTTCTCGCTAAATCTTGCGTTTTATGTCAAACGCTTCCGTTCCTCTTCAACAATTCCCTCAATAGTTTCTCAAGCGTCGACAATATTTGAAATAATTAAAACAACTCACGATAACAAAATTAAAAGTCACGATCCCATCCGATCACTACTCCGTTCATCGTCCTCTAAGTTCCGACTCAAAGTTCATCGAACCACGTAGAGGAAGAGAAACAGTGTCGCGATCGACTGATTCCTCGGTCCTGTCTCGAACGATCATTAAAGAGGCACGGAATCGCGTGGTTTCGCGCGAGGGCGTCGCTAAATGCTTCCTGGAATGGATCGTATCCTTGAACCGCCGAAGTTGCCGAGAAACAGAGGAATAAAAATGGTCGGAAGGAAGATATCGTTGGACCGGTCGAAAGGAGGAACGCAAAGAGAGGGTTGGACAGGGGTTGCGATGATCGTTTCGAACGGCGAAACAGAGAAGAACGAAGAAAAAAGAAGGGTTGTGTCGGTCGTGTTCACATTCTGAATTCTAGCTCTCGGTGTTCGAGTCTCTCCCTCCTGCGCTCGGGTCCGCGAAGAAAGCTTTCGTTCCCTTTCGAATCGATGAGAAAAAACGCTTGGATACAATGACTTCAAAACAGTTTCTTCGAGAACGTGTTGGATTAAGAATATTTTTAAAAGTCGTTAGGATATGTACAAAGAGATATTAATATGAATATGCAGTAAATGTTTTTACTGGGTCCGCGCGGTGCGCCGGGGACCGAATGGAGAACGCTGTTTTGGACGTGTCGCCTCCTTCGGCGTCCTCCGGGACATGACGGACGTGGCCGAGGATCGGCACGGTGTTCGGAACGTGTCTGTGTCTCCGTCCAATGAAACGAGACGGTGAACATACGCGAAACATTCACGAGCTAAGTGCATTAGTTAGATTAGCCGGCATATAGGTTATCTCAGTCAGACCTAACTTAGCTACCGCATGTTTCTATTTATATTCGCCGACGGTTCTCGTTGGACAGAGTGTCTGATGGTGTCTCTCAGGCGCGCGGTGTTTTAACGCTATTTCTACCGAAGGTGGATGACACCGTTTGAAATTTTAACTGAAAATTATTTTCTCGGTAGAATAATTTTTCCTTCATTGAATTTTGGACATTTCCTATAGTCAGTTTTATAATCGTTATTGGAAAAGTCGAAAAGTCCATTCAGAATATATGACTAAGCTTGGAAACTGATTTTAAGTTAAAATTTCGAAAGGTGTCTTTTGACAGCTTCGGTGGAAAGTGTTAATAAATCCGTGAACGATCTCTGAAGGGAAGCATTGTCGGCCACGGTTCAACGGCAAGACACAATGTGTATATATGTTGTGTATGTGTGTATGTGTGGGTGTGTGTGGAATGTCAATGGCGAACGCTCGATAACCACAGGGGATGATAATAATCGAAGAATCGCGACCGTGTCGATCCTCGGTAGAGACTCCTTGCTTCCACGTTTACGCACGCGTTCTTTTGGCAGATCATTCCCGCGCGAGGAGACAGTTGATGCCTTTTTCCTGGCCACGAACGGTTCTTAGGCCATCACCGCGTTTTCGTTCTCCTGCGCGCGCGACTCTCGCGACTACATTCCTTGATTCTTCGATCGATAATGGACTCGAGGCTTGTGCACAATAAACGGACGAGAAATCGCGAATCGTTTTTTCTTCCTTTTGTTTCCTTTCGAACGTGTTCTCCTTATTTTACGATACGGATAGAAGTGAGACGGGCGAAGAGAAACGATATTTTACCTTCGAGAATAATAAAACCAGCCGCGCGCCTCTGTCTGTCGTCGACAGACATGATCTTTCCCACTCACTCTCTCTCTCTCTCTCTCTCTTTTTCTCTTTTTCTCGGTGGTCCGTCACCTCCACGATTCCTGTTGCACGTTTCTTGTCGTTTTCTTTTCCCATCCACGTTTCGTTTCGAAGTGGACCACCACGGCCTAACGCCACTCACGGTTCTTTCAGCTTTATCTTTCTCTCTCTTTCTCTCTCTCTTTCTAGTGTTTTCGCTTTGCTCGTACGGCGCGGATATACATATAGGTATATTCATTATTTATATATTTATATATATTTATATAAAACTAAAACGTACCGTGATACTGATAAAATTTCGGAAAATATGAGTTCGACGGGTCGCCGCCCGCGGGCGGCGTCCGCGTTTCCTCGATCGGCGACAAAGCGGGTCGAGAAATATCGAGATATATAATATATATAAGTTATAGCCAGATCTAAAATTCGTTTTCTTTTTCCGTTAATAGATTCAGTAAAAATAAGTTGAGCATACGCGATGCATTATATAGATTTGCTTTTTCGTCATCTCGTAATTAATATATCCTGAAACGCTAATACCTTGTTGTGTATCGATCTCTCTTAAGACTTCGCGCGCTTGCTCGCTCGCGCGTTTTCTCAAGAATGTGCTTTCTCTCTCTTTCTCTGTGCCTTTCACGCATGCATACACTCGCGTACTTTTGTTTCTCACTCTCATACACACTATCTCTCTCTCTCTCTCTCTTTCGTCGATTTCCACTTTTCTACTTCAATCTTCGCACACACGAATAAACGCCGAACACGCACACCTACGGCCGCTACATGCGCCGTAGCCGCCTTAATTTAAAGAATTCCAAAAAGTCCAGGAACAGTACATCCGATCCCGTACCTATCTCGCAACGCCGCTCGGTTTAGTCTTTGAAAAATACTTTGTACTTGATCTCGCGTCAACGGTAAAAATTCAACACACATCGAAGCCGTGGAATCGGACCTCCCATATCGGTTGGTTGTCACATTACGGAAACTGAATCGTTTCTTTTCTTTTTTTCCTCCGTGTCCGCCGTTGTCGGTCGAACCACCAGCGAAACAAGACAAGCGTGATAAACGTGTTTCCGTGCTTCTGCCGGCCGTTGGATGAAGCGTCCGTTCTTCCCTGAGACGGGTTCGCGAAGAACGAAGCGTTTAAAAATCATTTTGTAAAAAAAAACAAAGAACAGGGGGGAAAGGAAATTTTAAGACACCGGCAGACGTCGTGCACGGCATTGATCAATTAAAAAAGATGGGGGGAAAGGGAAGAAGAAAAAGAAGAACGATCGACGTTAAACCCGTGAACGGTGACGCTAACGAATAAACGTCGACGCGCTCCGATCTTTTGTGTTCGAGAGTCTTGGGCGCGTATCCGATCCGCTCTTTGCACTGAATTTCCTCTCTGTCTCGCATTGTTAATCCTTCTCGTCGGTTCGTTACGGATTACGATTAAACGCTACACTATGTACACCAAATTTATGCTTAATCTACGAACGGGGTAAAGTGTATATATGTACGTGTACGTGGTGGTGTGTGTACGTGTGTCTGTACGTGTATAAGAGTATGTGTCGTTTGGGATTAATCCTAAAAAGTATATAATACAGGACACGCCGTCATTCGTACTCCCTGCGACGATACGCGGTATATATAACATCTTTGGACTCGATTTATTACACATTTATATAGAATATTACTTTACTCTTACTGTCTCTTTCGCGCGCCCTATGTCCCGCGAACTATCGCGCCCTCTCTTCGTCAAACAGAAGAAGTTCGCCCGTCAGTCCGACTCGAACAGACTGGGATTCATTGTTTTCCATCTTTCCGCCAATCGCCTCCCCTCGTTGTGAACGTCATCATCGAATTATAGTTCCGGTCGAGCTTCTTTGTCTTGCGGTCTTTCCCTCGCGTGTGCCCGCGGCGGGCTTACGGATGAAATGCTCGAGATTTCCGGCGAACCCCCGGTTCGTTCACCCGCGGTTCTGGAAGACGAGCGCCTCGTTCGTTCCGCGTCCGAGAAGCTTCTCCAGGAGTTTCCTTGTTCGCTGTGCGTGTCGATTGTGAATGTCCCTTCCCCTTCGCACCCGTGCCGTCGTCCTTCGGATGCTTCGGCGGGCACGCAGCTTCCCCGGGGCACTCGAAGTGTAGCACGAGTCCGGTCGAATCACTGCGACTCTGTGTTCTCGCGGCGAAAATTACTTAAATTCTGGCACTTGGTGTGACGACGGCGAAGGAGGGGATCCCGTTGTCCTCCTCGACGGAGGAGACCAGGCCTGGTCGGTGGTTCCGTGTCGACGCGACCGGAACTTCCCTCGGCGACCGATTAAACCGCCGACACCTGGGCGTCCTCGTCATCTGGAAAAACGTCGACGATCAGTTTAGCTACCGTGGCTGCGGAGGCTGGACGTCTGGGACAGTGAAACGCACGACTGCCGTCGTCTACCTTCGCTGATTCCTAACACTGATTACCTGCGCATTCATTGGTTACTTAAGGAGATCGTGGGGACACTGTCAGCGGAACTTACGGTCTGCGATCTCCAGCTATAAGGGGCCTAGTGAAATTGTTGCGGTTGTAATCAGTACGGTGAAGAGAAATTGCAGGGGAAGCTAGTTATTAGACTATGTGGGGATGGCGGATATTGTGCTGGCAAGTCGGACCTGAAACTACCGCGAGGAATGTTGCATTCGAGTATTTAATCAATGAAACTCGAATCTACCAGAGTAGGCACAGTACTCTGGACCTTAACGTTGGAGCATAATTTTGAATATTACGTAACACGTTGAATGCCGTGGGGTCACCAGTGACCAAATCGAATTATTATAATTCGGTCAATTAAACGATCATTTGCCAATATTTTTATATTCCAAATAATGCTGTCTAATGCGATGACGTTCGGTAAGGTAAACGTGCAATAATAAGACAATTCAATGAAATAATTCGATATCACATTGTTTTGTGCATTATGCTACGTGAGGCATTCAACGTGTTAACGTTTGCCACCAGCGCTTATTTCAGTGACGGTCTCTTCAATTATATTTTCTTCGATCCAATAAATCTAAACGAAATAGAGAAATGAAACTGAAACGAGTCATTGAGTTCCTAAATATAATGTCGTAGTTTATCATTTCTAATAACAATATCCGTAGGATTCATTTCATTTTCATTATGTAAAATACAGGGTTACGACCGTCACGAATATGATGCTGGTAGCTAAGGGTAATATTCAGAGTGAACCTTTCTAATTCAATAATATAGAGTAATTGTTATGACTGCAGTAATCATAACAGTTCGAAGATAATCTCGACGGTAACAGTTAACGTTCCGTACGACACAGTTCCAGGAACGACCGTCCAGCACAAACCCTCCGAAAGCAGACAACTGTCTTTCTTCAATCGCTCGGGGTCGCTATCCAACGGGCACGCCCTAAAATAATTGATCGTAAAAAACAGTGCTCCAGGGTAATCAAGTTCACTTCAAACCAAGAAAACAGCGAAATCAAAAGGAAACCTGGATTCTCGAGAATGTAACGTGCAAAACGAACGCAAGCAAGCTAGTCATGCCTCGACGGCGGAAGAACAAAGGAAACAATATATATGTATATACATATAATGTATAATACATATACGTATAACGTGTATACATATATATACATATATAAAATATGTAAACTCCGCTGTTCGCCGAAAATCACAGGACAAAATTGCAAAACAAGCCTTCAGCGAGTGCGTGAACACCGAGTACACAGAGTATTTATATATATAATCATGATGCAGAGAAAACAAGTCGATTCGTGAATAAGAAATATGCTTGTTATGCGTGGATGGTGGTGTGAGTGCAGCGAAACGATGCTTGGTCGCACGAGCACAAAGAACAAAAGGTAATTAAAAAAAAAAGTATATATATATATAAACAGAAAAATAAAAAAAATGACACAAGGGTTATGCTCACAACGTGTGTATGTCTATCTGTCTGTGTGTAGGTGTGTGTGTGTGTGTGTTTGTTATGGAACAGGCAATTTGCGGAATGTACAAGTGGAGAATGCGGATGTGTCGTTATTTACATGTCACGCCTGCGATTAATCGGAGCATTATACATCGACAGTAACAGACACCGACGATCCTTGCTCGAATCGTCCACGCATACATTAATATTACTGTTGGTACTCTAGATGGCGGAGAGATCTTTCTCCCTTTGTGTATATTTTTATCTGTATCTCGAACTCGGAGAGATCGTAATCATGATAAGACGTTCACGATTACGGAGGTACCATTCTGATGAAAGTAAAGAGGATCGCGGGGGTGATGTTCGAATAATTCGCGGAAGAAGTAGCTTCGGAAGAGCTCGAATAAAATGGAGGACAGAGTCATTGTCGCGATACCTTCACGGCGAAAAATGTTACTTAAGAGTGTGTAATTCTGTTGCATCCCCTGAACAGCTTTACTGTGGACGGTAGAACTCTTCAGTGGATGAAATATATCTTGAGAGTATATCTAAGCTTTGGCTACTCCGGCGTAGCGTCAGTTCAGCGAGACTTTTTGGAGGAAGATAAAATCAAAGTGCGCACTGAACCTTCAGACGTGGTACATTTTCATTCACAAGATCCATTGTCGTTTACAGAATCTTCGATTTTGGTTTATTAAGAGAACACGGATTTTATTGGAATATTCCTTTTTCGCTGATTTTCGAATAATTGCCCCAAGAAAATGGCATATTTTGCGAACGATGAAAATTTTGTAATAGTTACCATAGAATCTGGCAGTAAAGTGTAAAATGTAATTGAAACGAACGAAGCGAAAATAATTTGTACTTTCTTTAGTGCTGCACGCGATTAGAAATTGAATAGTGGCTTTAATAAGATATAATGGAAGGAAGCTGTTGCCAATGTACACGTCTGAAGACGTGAAGCAAGAATACAACGAAAATATCGGTCTCACCTGGTAGATAAGCGAGAAATGAAATTCTGCGATTAACATTTTTCTCCGTGCATTGACCGCAATTAGCGCTGAGATTGACAGAGTTTCGAATGTAACTTTTCATTAGGCAAACGTGTGAACGGTTGAAATATTGGTAGAACTAGAACCTCAATGAAATTCAGGAATAAAGGTAACATAGACGTAAATATCATCAATAATTACACAGAATTCTATAAATATTCCGAGAGTAAATATAAACTCTCATTGAACCATCCGCTAACTCATAAAACCAAATTAACCTCTCAACCCCGAAGACAACAATCCGCTTATCAATCCTCAATCCAATACGTCGTCTCGATATCTCGATAAAAAATCTACCCTATTCCATTACAGTCAAACCTGTTTTCGTGCGGACCTTTTCTATGCGATTTTTTTATGCGCTATATGAATTCCAACGGTGTTTGTTGTTCTTCAAGTGACAAAAGCGACTTTGAACCAGTTCATCGCAAGAAGCGCGTTTTGGACTACGACGAAAATTTCTCCATGTATAAGAAATTAAATTTTTTAAACATTAGAATCACCGTGCCAGTCAAAACGACTGGTTTCAGTTTTCCTGTTTCGCAATTATCGATATCTTCAAAGCACTGAGTATTCGAAATGATTTTGAAAATAAATAGTTTCACTTGAATACTATAATGAATGTCTGAAGAAACTGAAAATAATCTATTACTACAATATTCATAGCGGTTACATTTCAATCGTATCAAATGCACGGTAGTGTTAAAATGATTCCACCTGTAATTCAATTATTTATTTCGTTCGAAAGCACTCTCTCGCTATTCCATAAATTTCTGAACACTATTTTTCGCGCGGTTTCTTTGTCCCTATCGCACAAAAACAGGTTCGACTATTTCGTAATATCCACATTTCATTGTGATTTCCACCAATGTCCCAACTTCGAAATTCCCCGGAAAATCGACGGAATCCTCTTTCGGATTCGATCTCGAATGAAATTCGTCACTCCCGTCGCTAAGAGCAGAGGGGAGCGCAAGCCTCGAGGACCATAATAAATTCGAGAGAGAGAAAAAAAAATAGTAGTACGTATAATAGAAACGGTAGTAAAGATATAGATTGTATGTACGTAGCGATTTTGTTTGCTTTGTACCATCTTCGTGCTCGGTCCTGTAGGTAACACCCTCGTGGCTGTGCGCACGGCCAAGCCTGTGCAGCCTCGCCATCTGCGCAGCGACTTTGTATGCGGGCGGCTGACGGCACTGCGTGCCACCGATTCCCGGACGCATCGTCGTCATCGACGTCATGGTAGTCATGGTCGTCATCGTCGTGATAATCGTCGTGCCTGGTGGTGGAAGCCCAGCCGGTACTCCGAGGCCGACGCCTACTCCTAATCCCGTGCAACCTGAAAACCCTCGACTCTCTTTCTCTCGATCTCTCACACAAGCCGCTCCTCCATTTCTTTGCTCCTTAACATCGTCCTTTCACTCTCTCCCTCTCTCACCCCTTTTATCCTTCTCCGCCAACTACCTCGCCGCCATTACCGATATTCCGAACGAGCACGACCCGATCCGGCGCGAGATTGCTTGGGTTCAGCAGCTGCGCTGGGGATTCCGATAGTTTCGCTAACGATGTCTTTTACTTTTAAACTGATTTTCTGAAGAATCGACGACTGAGGATTTTTGTTATTAATCTTTAGTGGAGTTAGTAGGTGTTACTAGCTTGATATTCATTGTTAACCCTATGATTTATTTCGTAACTATGATCAATACCACTTCATCGTTAATCATTTATTTTGATGCGTATTCTACGTTTACTCCAAAGGTTAATGATTGTTAATAAAGAAATAATATTTAATTCATATTTAAACATTTAGATTTCTCGAACTCAGTTTACAATTTTGCGAGTCTAGCACGATATTCTAGGTCAACGGGTTAAGTTGGGCGAATAAGATTTCTCTTGGATATAATATAGATGTTTATGAAAGTTAATAATGTATAGATATTTCTTTTAAGTTAGACTTTGTATGCTGTTTACTTGGAATGATGTACTATTAGTTCGAAAAATTTCATTTACACGAGCATTAATGATTAATGAATGGCTATCAGAAATAATGGACTGTATTCGTAATCTGATAATTGGAAAGGGAGACCAGGGCAGTCATGTAACGGGACCCGTCGTACTCGTTCGGAACACCCGTTCGCGACAGATGAACGGGTCTCAGAGAAGACTGTACAACAAACACACTCGTTATTCGCAGCTAGATCCGCTCGTGAAAAGGGGAAGCACAGAAAACCAGTTATTATACCCTGAAAAGAAGCCTCGGTCCTCCGTTAATCCTGAGGAATCGCGGACACCGTGAAACGTGGTCGCACGACACAGGAGCACACGATGCAACACACATTACGGATACGCGCACACGACACACAAAACCACAGACAGTAGGTAGCAGGCGACGGATACTCACGTGGTCTTTTTTTTTCATAAAACGTGCACGCGCGTTCAACTTTCATCGATGCAAGCGACTTTGACACAAATCAAGCGTGATGCGTTCAGCGTATAATACTAACGGACACCTCAAGCCTGATGCACGTTGCTTCCGGTTGCAGTAATTTCGTCTCAGCGATGCTCGGGGATCGATGGATCGTCGTCAGTTGTAACTTCAACCCTTGCGATACTGATTTTTTATAAATTTGATGCTGATTCGAAATTTAATATTTTAAAGATTGAAATTTGAAATTGGAAACTTAACCCTTTGCACTCGGAAGGCGAGTCAATATTTAATTCGACGCGACAGAACTATGAAATCTGATGTTTAATGTTGAACTTTGTAATGTTTCGATACGTGAAATATTAGAGTAAAATAGCTTTGTTCCTCAATGTACTTGTGATTTCCTTTCGAGTTAGTTTCGAGGAATATCGTCTTCGCCTAGTCAAAGAATGTTAAACATTTCTAGCGAGAAACTTCCGAGTGCAGAAGGTTAAAATTTGAAACGTTAAATTTGAAATTTGGAAGAGAATTAATTTGAGATTTTTCTCTGAAAATCTCCCGATTATCTATGAGCTATCTCTCAAGATCGAGAGGGTTAAAGTTTCACCGATCCATCACTGAATCATGCAGGTACGTATAGGTTCGGGTTCCCACCCGGAGGCAACGTGATCGAACGAGCAATCTACACGAGAAAAGAAGCCAACCCATTCGCAGGAGAGAGAAAAAAAAAATTGAAATAAAAAGAGAAACGGGCAAGACAGTCGCGGACTCACCTTGAGGATTTTGGGGTTGGTGATGGTGATGATCGTAATAATGTTGGTGGTGGTGGTGGTGGTGGTGATGATGATGATGATGATTGTGGTTGTGATTCTGGTTGTGGTTCGCAGGAAGCGGAGGTAACACTGCTACCGCGTGAGGGAACGGAGGGGCACCACCTCTCAATACAGACCCTGCACCACACACAGGCCACATACGAAATGGTTTTCCTCAATTTTTTGTTTGTTCGTTTTTTCTTTTTTACAAAATGTACAAATGATTACGTCTCGGGTTGATGACATTCTGACGATCGAATCGTGGAGGAGTGAAGTAATGAGCAAAATATATAGAAGATACTGGCATTGACCTATTAACCGGGTGATCCTCTCGAGCGACAAGATGGCGCCTCTCGAGACGAACGAAAGCGAATACGGCACAAGTGATTTTATACAGACGTAAACGTCGCAACTCGTACGACGTTGAAGTAAAATGCCGGAATTCCGAATGAAATGAGAAGAAAAATGAAACTTCGACGACCGAACTCGTCTTACCCGGTCAACAAGTTGAAAGAGAAACTCGAACGTGATCGAGTAGGAGGGAAGATATGCCTAGAGTGAGTGCCGCGAGTGCGTGAATAGATCGCGATGATCGTAAGAACGTACAATAGCGTACGTATATGTACATGTGTGTATACATATACGTATATATATATGTGTAACATATATGTATATATGTATAATGTATTGATTTATATTATGCGTATGTATAAAGGGTGGCCGTTGCGTAAAGAAGCGGAGTCTCTGAAAAGAAGCTTTAAGCGGTAAATGTACTGAAGCAACTGGATCTCCCGAGATAAAAAAGAAAAGCGGCTATAAGCACGTTTATCTATGCTCGGCTAAAGAAACGGTAACATAATAGAACTGCCGGGGAACGGTATTTTCTGTCCCTCCATCGGTTCCGCGGAAAGTGCTTTTCCGACTACACCATAGACGCGATGAAACGAGAAGAAAGTTGAGTGGCCATGGGACATACGTATTTCGCTCCTCGATG